TGATGGCTTCCACACCAGCCAAAAGAGAAAGAGGAAATACAGAATCTAAGTCCAAGGACTTAAATCTCTGTCCCAGAGATCTGGAAATAATGTCTGTCTTTTAAGGTAGTGGTTAGCCATCTTAAAACTCAAAAGAAATTCAAATAAGTCATTCAAAATAAGCCATTTTGTAGGAATTTCCTTTGTAATCATTAAAAGTTTAAAAGTCAGGGCTCCAAACAACAGAAGAAAATGGGCAATGTATGAAAAGGCAATCCCCTGAAGAATTAATCCAAAGAGCCAATAAACACAGGCAGAGAATTTCAATTCCACAAGAAAGAAATGCAAGTTCAAACACTTATATACTACTTCTAATTTCTCTATCCTTTGTGGATGGCAATTTAACAGTAAAAGCATATTTGTCCCAGCAATTACTCAAGTGAGCTAAGATACGTGTACACAGGTAGTTTTTAATAATTTTTTAAGTGGTATGCCACTAATATAGGATGGGTTTCGATTTTGCTTCAGAAAAGTACAACTGTGCTTACACATAAAGGTGTATATTTGTATATTCACAGAAAAAATTATAGTAGGACAAACAAAACTATTAACAATGGTTATGGCAGGAGAGAGGGAATGACAAGTTTCGACTTTGTATAATTTTCCAAATTTTGTGCAGAATTTTTTTTAAAGAAGGAGTCTGATTACTTAAGGTATTTTTAAAGATGTTTTGAATACATTACCAAAAATTAGACTTGGGGTCAAAATTTTCTTATAATAAAATACTTTTTTTTACTTAAGAGCATCTCTACAGAGGGCCACAACAATTCCTGCCCAGCTCATAACCCAAGAGTCAATACTCTGGTTTAGACAGAAAGTTTGGCCCCTGTTCCTTCAGTCCTAGACTAAAATTTCACTTCAGCACAATGGTAGAACTCGGCTATGACTCATCTTCCTCTGCAAACAATGAAAGTTCTAGTTCAGTGGGAAAAAACTACTTGAGTTGCCAGGTCACTGAACTGTTCGAATGAAGGAGAAAATATTGGGGCAGGAGCAAGGGAGTCGCTGTGCCCAGATCCTATCTAATTCCCACACCAGCCGCCTCAGTGGTCCTCCAACAAGTGGATTTGAGAACAGTTACAATAGGAAGCATCTGGTGCCCTTTATGTAGGGGTCAAAGAACCCAAGTGAAAACATGAAACAGATCCAAGACTACTTAAAAGCTTGCCTTTCAAGTAATGCCAAGAAAAAATACACTAAAAAGATTACAGGGTGTACAGCCATATACCATGATGAATACGTTTGATTTCCTATTCCTAGACTTGAAATACCAGGCAAAGCCCATTACCAACTGACTAGATTTTCATAATTTTTACAGAACTAATTGTATTCCTTTTATTTACCTGGAACTGTTACGATAGCTTGCAAAGTATTTTAAAAAGTGTTACATCATAAATCCTGACCACAAACCCCCTGGGGGATTCTACTGGTTGGGAGACTCCATCTCAGAGGTTCACTGACTTTCATGGTAACTGGGACCCAGGACTTAAGGGCCATGTCCCATCCTTTGAAGAATTCCTCAGTATGATGTTAATCAGATTTCTCATTTTCCCCAAAAAATTCTTTTATTTCAAACAAATCGCTCTCTACCTTTTTCTCCCAAGTTAACAATTCTGATTCCTGTGTCTTTGCAAATTATATTTACCTGGTCTTCCTAACCACCAAGTCATTTTCTCTATAAACATTAAGATCAACAAAAAATTCATAAGTCCTAAGAAATTCTCCCAGACAAACCTCACTACATGTATCACTCCAAATTCTGTGCTCCTTTATTTAGATACAGTCAACTGATGGGGTCAGGCCACCACCAGACCTTGTATTCACCTTCTTTTTGTCCCTCCCAGGCCCTCACCTCTGTAGGGGAAGAACTATATCACCTTCATTTTTATATCCCCATACCTTCCCCAGAGCAGGGCATTTACTAGGTAGGTACCTAATAAGTGTTGACTAAATAGAGGAAAGAATAAAAATTATCGAAGATCTCAGCAACCTGGAGTGGTTATAAACCTCCTGGAGTTCCAACACGAGAAACGAGCTTTTTAAGAATGAGCCATGCATGGCTCAGGAGAGCCTCCTGGCAGTGTCCCCAACTGGCCTCACCTCCACGTTCCCACACACCCAGCCCCTGATAAAATTCTTATTCCCAAAGTTCTCAACCTGCCTTGCCTCATGAAGACACCACCAGCTGGCAGCCCTGTCTCTTCTCTGAGGTCTACTCAATGTTCACCCAGAGTAACCGCCTGTTCCTGGTGAGCTCTTCCTGGTCACATCTTCTCAGAGGATAACCAACGTTAGTCTAACATACCACACTCTACTGCATCAGCACAGACTGAAACTAAAACTCTATCCAATGTTCTCCCAGCTTCCTGCTGCTCAGAGTTCATTCATTCATTCCACGAGCAGGTACTGAGGCCAGGCACACAGTTAGGTGCTGGGGGACAGCGGTGACAAAGCTTCCTCAGTCAAGGCCTCAGTTCAGTTACATCAGGGTCTCTGGCTGTGGGGCTCCAGCACGTTGGGGACTGTAATGGGAGCCCAGGCTGTGACTCTTCTAACCCATCCATCTAAAGAGGAAACGGCTGACAGAACGGCAGGAAAGCAGGAAGGATGGCAAGATAAGCAGGGCCTCCCAGAGTGGTTTCCTGAGCAGAGGCAACTTCCAGACATAAATCATCTGGGCAATAATAGATGCCTAAATGTCCTATAATGTCTCCAAATAATGTACTGTATTTCACATTTGCAAGCCTTTTTTTAAAAAAAAAAAAACTTTGGTCTCTCTCAGCTACATTATTGTTGACATTCAGTGAAAATATTGGGGGTATTTTGGGGTTTTGTTTGTTTTGAGACAGGGTCTTGCTTTGTCACCCAGCTAGAGTGCAGTGGCGTCATCACAGCTCACAGCAACCTCAAACTCCTGGGCTCAAGGGATCCTCCTGCGTCAGCCTCCCAAAGTGTTAGGATTAGGTATGTGCCACCATGCCCAGCCAATGTTATTTTTTAACATTAATTTTAACATCTTTTTTTTTTCTTTTGAGACAGAGTCTAGCTCTGTCACCTTAGGTAGAGCACACTGGCGTCATCATAGCTCACAGCACATAGCTCATCAGCACAGACCAGGCTGTGTAACCTCAAACTCCTGGGCTCAAGGGATCCTCCTGCCCTAGCCTCCCTAGTCACTGGGACTAAAGGCGTGTGCCACCATGTCCAGCTAATTTTTCTATTTTTAGTAGAGACAGGCGTCTTACTCTTGCTCAGGCTGGTCTCAAACTCCTACCACCTCGGCCTCCCAGAGTGCCAGGGTTACAGGCAGGAGTCACCACGCCCAACCAATTTTAACATTTTCTAACAAGATCACTATAGAGATCTATACTATGGACACACAAAAAAATACTGTGAAGTGCCAACCAATGAGAAGACAATGTAGGCCTTTGTGGAATCTGAAACCATGTACACATTTGTTTTCTATTTTTATTAAAATAACATGCCCTGAAATATGTTTTATTAAAAATAAATGCTTTCTATTGCCCTAAAGCCTTCTGCCTGGTCACAAGGCAGGAAAGAATGCTATCTAAATAAACCAGAACTCAACCAGCACAGCCTTTAAATATATTTAACACTATAATCCACTCATTTAAAAGTCCACTTACTATTTAAAAGTTTCTATTTTTCTTCTAATTGTTTTCTCATTTCAACCACTATAGTTATCCCAGACCCTTTGTAGCAAAGCAGTAAGACAAAGACTAGCAAACTACGGAGACTATTAATGCCAGGGAAAGAAAGAGGATTAAGTGAGAGTCCAAGGAAATCTTTGAAACAACACACATGCTGCAATTGCCGCTCCTGTGCATGGGTTTTTAATTCAGGTCCCTGAAAGGTATTTTGGTTTTGTGTTGGGACCACATGGTTATTTAAGAGAGGAAAGTAATAGCCAACGAAGAGAAGTTTAGCACACCAGTCTCCTATTACACTTGTCCAAGAAACCAAATTTACTGAAAATATGGGCTGCTCCAAACATTTTAGTTTAAATTTACTCCATAGAGAACAATGCTTACACACTTACCACCTCATTCACAGGAGCTATGAAAGAAAACATTAAGAGGGAGAGTAAGTGAAAAAAGAAAAAGAAAAACATTTTTTAAAAAACTCTTACCAGCCTCAAAGTTTTTTCATGGCGACAACATTCATGCATGATATATAAGGCCAAAGAAAACACATCACCTGGGGTTTTTTTCCCATACAAAAACTCCTGTGATCAGTACACACAAATATACGTACAACAAGACATGGACAGACGTCTAAACTGATCAGAAAAACAAAGTCACCCTAGGAGTAAACGCCAGTGAGAGGAAAGTGCATGACACCTTGGCTATGTGAAGTTCTGCATCTCCACTTCTCACGGGGAAACCTGAATTAAAACAAAAACCCCAGCATTTGCACTGGCCCCAAAGGCACAAATGTCTGGCCCTCCCTAGTCTCAGCTCTCGACCATATATTGCAAAAAATAAAATGCCTTTTTCACCAGCAGAGTCAATCAAATACAAAAATGGGAGGAGGTCTAACAATATTCAGCACCCCAGAGGAAACTTCCTTTATATGACCGTAAATAGTGAATACAGAGTGAACTACTTTGAAAATACAGGGAGATAAAGTGAAACATACTGGTCACAACAAATTTAAGGTTCCTTGAATGCTTTTTCCAAAGAAGCCGGTAACTGCGGCAAATTTTCCCCTCTCGCAGAGAATTACTAAAGCAGACAGCATTGGTTTCCACTATTCAGAGTCCACAACAAGTGACATCAGGAAGCACAGGCCCTCTGTCCCAGCACCAGCCTGGCCTGCTGTTAGCAGCTTTGTAACTTAACAAACTGGGCTCAGTCAGTGAATGAGACAGCCCTGTCTTCACTGACAGTCCTCCTTCAAAAACCTCACTGGCTGAGAGTCAAGCAAGCCGATGAGCTTACCTGGTGATCGCTTGCAAGCCTGGAGAGCCGCATGCCCTGGCAAATCAAACCTGCACTTTTTCAAGCGAAACGTGGTGGCTGCCGGCCCGCTCATCACCTACATCTGCTTAGATAACGAGGAAAAAGATGCAGAGGAAGTGGACAACAAAAGCAGCCTGCGAACTGCACACTGGGATGTCCTGTTTTTTGAGCAGCTTTTATTTTTCCCACGAAAGGATCTGACTAAACCCAACCCAACCTCCTCTGAATACCCGACAGGAAGTTACACTTTGCAGCCAGTGAAAACTCCTTAGGTAGTTTTTTTGTTGTTATTGGGTTGTTGTTTTTTTAATTTTTTTTTTTTAATTGTCACAACTATGGGCCTCTGAATGTTCCTGATCTACTACAGAGAGATTATTACTTTGTTTCCTGTTTTGACAGCGTCAGCTGGTAAGGAACCTCCACCCACCCCCTACCCACTAGGTGTATAAATAAAGGCGTTAGCCCTGGGTATACAACTGTGCTGAAGAGTTTGGTTACATATTAACTACACTTCAAAGAATAAATTGGACTTATTATTTCACTTTAGTATCTATATATAACTTGGGGAAACAAAACTCAAAAGGATTTCTTCTTCATCCCTTAGAAATTGTTATTACGGCAAAAATAAGCTCAACCACACAGAAGTCTAAGATAAGAGGTAACAATTTTACTCATATTTTCCAGCCCACTCTGTTCTCAGGTATTTGCCTTGCTCTCTTGCTATCACTTCTGCACATGCTATGCACACACGTGCAAAAAACAAAGAAAGGCATCATTCATGTTATCTCCACTAGTTTCTTGGTCCTTGCTTAATTATTTTTCTTTCTTGCTTTGCAATATTAAATTTTGCAAAATTAAATTTTCTACTTGTTAGCAAAGATTTTCACAGAATATGTATCTTTGTCAGGATACACACTGATTTGAATTAAAAGGCATCTCTCTTCCTGGAGGAACAGAAAAGGGAAATAATATTTGTCCCACTCTCCTCCTTATCTCTATATTTTCTCTAGACAAGAAGCTGTGTGACTCTGGCAAAATACTCTCTCTAACCCTCAATCTCCAAATCTGTAAAATGGGAGTAGTCACCTCACCTTTCGTCTAGGACCGTTACGAGGAGAGACACTGCGAAAAGCACAGTGATACAGATCATATTTATATTCTTTGGGTAACAAATTTATTGATATGTAAGTCACATAATATACAATTACCCATTTATAGTATATAATTCAATGATTTTTAGTGTATCCACAGAATTGTACAACCATCATCACAATCGATTTTAGAACATTTTATCATCCTCAAAAGCAGTCACTCTCCATTTCCTCTCCCTACCCCTCAGCCCAAGGCAACCACTAAAATCTGTTTCTGGTCGCTATAGATTTGCCTATTCTGGACATTTCCTATAAAGGAAATCAAACAGTACACAGTCTTTTGTGACTGGCTTCTTTCATTTACTTAGCATAATCTTCTCAAGATTCATTAGGCTGTAGCATGTATAGTTATTTCATTTCTTTTTATGGCTGAATAATACTCCATTGTATGGATAAACCACATTCTACCTGTTTGTTCATCGAGTCATGGACATTTTAATTGTTTCCATCTTTTAGCTAATGCCAATAATTCTGCTATGAGCATTTGTGTACAGATTTTTTCTATGAACATATATATTCACTTTTTTTGGATATATATATATCAAGGAGTAGAATTGCCAGGTCATATAGTAACGCTATGCATAACCCTTTGAAGAACTGCCAGACAGTTTTCCAAAGTGACTGCACCATTTTACATTCCCACCAGCAGTGTACAGGGGGCTTCCAATTTCTTTATATCCTCACCAACACTTGGTATTACCTGCCTTTTTTATCATAGCCATCCAAGTGGGTATGAAGTGACATCTCACTGTGATTTGATTTCTACTTTCTTAAAGGCTATCAAAACTCAGTTAACAGTAGCCCAAAAATGTCTCCATTCCTATAGGCAGCACTAAATATTCAAAATACAAAACAAGGCCGGGCGCAGTGGCTCACGCCTGTAATCCTAGCACTCTGGGAGGCCAAGGCAAGAGGACTGCTAGAGCTCAGGAGTTCAAGACCAGCCTGAGCTGGTCTTGAGTGACACCTTGTCTCTATTAAATATAGAAAGAAATTAGCTGAACAACTAAAAGAAAATATCAAAAAAATTAGCCAGGCATGGTGGCGCATGCCTGTAGTCCCAGCTACTTGGGAGGCTGAGACAGAAGGATTGCTTGAGCCCAGGAGTTTGACGTTGCTGTGAGCTAGGTAGGCTTCTGCCACAGCACTCTAGCCTGGGCAACAGAGCAAGACTCTGTCTCAAAAAAAAAAAAAAAAAAAAAAAACCAGTGAGGCACGGGCACCACCTAAACAGAATGGATGCTGCGACAGTGCAGAAGTGAGATCTTTATGGTGTCCATCTTTGACAGTGGCTATTTTCTAGTAAGTATCAAAGAATTTCAACATTTTTACTGGTAGATTTGTATGGGTTCATGCCAGCTAAACTTTCTGGCGTCAAATCACTATGTCTAGTAAGAGGCTACTAAAGCAACCAGGCCCTTCTTCCTCTATCAAAGGGTTGCTTCTGCAAACTGGTAAGATAATGAAATTCTAAACGTAAATATGACATTTCAATCTTTATAAATTGGTTCTTTCCACCTGCTTTTCTGCATGTGTCTTCTTCTTAGATAGAAACAGGTATGATCAAGGCAGCCTTTTGTAAGTAAATAGCCATAATTACTTATAGAAACAAATTTTAGACCAGATGTGATTTAAGATTAAGAATCTCAAATTTTGAAGGTAGTCAACAAGAAGAAAAAGACAGGATCTACAGTGAGCAATAATTTCCCCTTCCCTCTCAAAAGTGTGGTACTAGGAGAAAGTAATTATCCAAAAAAAAAAAAAAATCTAAATCAAAGGGATTATCACTTTTTCAAACCTCATCGTGTTTGAAAAAAATTCACATACCATGATGTTAATAACCTCTTTTCTAAAACATCCTATTTTAAGATTTAATTTTTTCTGATCCCTCAAAAAAAACTAAACGGAACAAAATCTATATAAAGCACAATAAAGAAAATACCAAAAGGCTATTAACTTAAAAAAAAAAATAAAAACGTTTTTCTTTACTTTTCAATGTAAGGCCTCAGGCCTTGCAACATGTATTAATAATGTGATTTCATCCATCTTCTAAAAAATTCTCCATGTCCCAAGGCTGCACCATGTAATCCATTGTTTTAGTTATTTCTTGGCATCCAGCTAACTATGAAACTGACCGTTGAACTTTCATATGTCAAATGGAACTTTCCATTGTGGGAAATTTCTAAAACATTCATATTAAGCTAAATGGAAATGGCATCATAGCTCAGGAGCAAATAAGGTCTGTAAAAACCAATATAACTTCTAAACTAGATTTTATGCAGGAAAAGCAAACCATTCATTGGAGTTTCTGTAAATACTTGAAGGTGAAGAAAATCAGGAGCTACAATCAGTTCATCAAAAGTTATCTGAAGGTTCTTCTAAAAAGATCTAATAGGAGGGGGCACTTTTTAAAACTGTTCTGTAATGTCAGAACCCACTCTATTCACAGATCCGTTCTTCTGCTAGATTACACGGTGGCCTCATTTCTAGTTCTTGTGAAATCAATAGACCATTTATGTTGCAAGTATCTGTCTAGGGTATGCGCTTTCTTATTCAATCTGGTGTTGACAGCTGTAATCAAATTTTGTTCATACCACTAGCTCTATTATAGCTCAACAGCAACTGGCTGCCAGCCTAGGTCTACTCTCATCAAAAAGGAAAGAAAGGGTTGGAGTGGAGAATTACAAAACAAATCAGCCGAAACTACAGGAGGTGGTGTCAAAGTGAGAGACTGAAGCAAAGGCATTTGGAAACTAATCCTCTCTCCAGGGGGGAAACACACACCCAGCACCATCAGCACCACCAACCCCTGGCCAGCCGACCTTGGCCATTAAAGGTTCACATTTACTTCATTCTTCCTGTTATCTACAAAACCCTCTTGGCTTTGAACATCGTATTATAACTGTCAGTCCTAAATAATCAACCTACACCTGACCCTGCAGAGCAGCAAGCTAGAGCTAGAGCCAACCCACACCCGCCAATACCAAAGAGACCAAATGCAAGGGACCAGTCCTGGCACTTCCCATGAACCCTCGAGACACTACTAGCTTTGTTTTGTAACTATTCTTTATGCACTTAAGCTGCAGTCATACATTTTTCTCAGATCAGAAAATGAGAAATTAATCTTATGATAGACACCAGGTCAGCTTTAAGAAAAAGGAAAGAAAAAAAATGGGAAAGGGTGAAACCCTGACTTTGAAATTCTACTTGATTTTAATTTGTAGACTTCAAATTCTCCAAGAAAACTGACTCCTACTAATAGATATTCTCTACTTAAAAGTAGCTTGGATGATGACATTTCCTGATACAACGAACAATTTTTTTCTCATTTTTTAAAACTTTCTGTCTTGAAATAATCTGAGACCTATAAAAGAAGTTATAAAAATAGTACACAGAGTTCTCATATTCCCTTCACTGAGCTTCCCCAAATATTGCCATCTTATGTAACCAGAGTACAATCATCAAAACCAGAGGATTAACATGGATGCCATACTATGAACTAATCTACAACTATCTTTCAAATTCCAGTTGTCCTCCTCCAATTGTCCCCTTTGAAATATGAGCCATATTGCAAAAACTCAAGATTTTCTTGAGTGCCTTATCTAATGAACATTTCTGATGCCCCTCCCAAAGTTCTCCTTCCCTTGGAAGTAGTGTTATCATTAACTTTGAGTCTTCCTGGAAACTTGCCTTCACAGTTCTTCTCTCCATGTATCATCAGTCAGTCTCCATCCTTATCCTTATCCTTATCTTGTGTAAACACAAGTCAAATAGAGTTTCACAACCCCTTGTCCAAAACCCTAGGGCCAGGTCTGTTGCCAAATCAGAACTTTCTCCCATTTGAGAAAAGTTATAAAGTACAAGTCATATGTTACATGGAAAACAGAAAACCAGCAAGATCCAGGGCAATTTCTCCTAATCAAACATGTGAATATTAATAGTTCTGCAGCAAATACGTATGTTTAATGAAGGGTGAGTGGAATAAGTAAAGGTTTTAAAAGAACTCCAGCTGTTCAGGTCAGGCTTCATCATCAAATGAGCTTAGCCCAAGCTCAGGTTTTACTGTCAAAACAAATTACAAAGAAAATACCCTTTGGTTTTCAGAGCTCTTTTAGGATGTCGTAAGTGCAGATGAAGGATGGTGGATCCGTACCTATGAAAGCCACAGCTTCATCCATCTCCTGCCCACAACCCCCCACAACCCCATACCTTCTTCCACCTGGTCTCCTGGCAGAGCCACCTGCAATGTTCCCTCTGCCTCTAGGAGCTCTTCACTCCAAATCACCCTCACACAGAGCTCCCTAGAGTGACTTTTCAAGAGTACCTACAAATGCCTAGCTTCAAAGTCCTTAAAGGTCTCCCATCCCAGAATGGAATCTAATATCCTCCATGAGGTTCACCTGCCCTCCCATCCCCCGACTGCACTAACCACCTGCATGGCATTACAGCCAAGAAGGATGCCGCAATGAAAAAGGCATAGTCTAGCCTCAAGATTCTCACAATCTAGGTACTACCTTTAATATTTTCATCAGAGTAATATTATTTAGAATACAACTTCTCTAACAATCACAGAGCATGTTGGGATTTTTTTAATTCATTTGCATCTAGCTAGGAAATTCTACCACAGTTCTTGATCACAATAATGATTATTAACTAAATCCCACATGTTGACATGAAAAGAATTTTCGCAGGATTTTAACAACACGTGTCTAAAAATACTCAGGATGCTACTGTTGGTATAGTTAAAACAATTATTAAAAGCAAAAGCCAGGAAAAACTTCTTTTAAAAAATAAGCAAACCCAAAAAAGTAATGTCAAAGATGGTATTTAATGGACTGAGGATTTCTCATGAGATTGTTTTTCCAAAGCATGAAGATATAAATAAAATCTGAAATCATGCCTTTGTTTCCATATTAGTATATTAATGGAATTGAATGACACTATCATCAACAAAATTATGTTAAAGAGAATTAAAGCTGAGTCCCCGCCATTGAGGAGCTTAGAAAGTATCCCCAACCACAGAGGCAGACTTTAGACATAAACTTTAAGTAATGAATAAAAGG